TGATCGTAATCCAATTTAAAATAGAGTAGAAAACAAAAAGTCTCTAGGCCGAAACCTTACCTGAAAACCTACCGTTCCGTATATTGTAAACCCTACAAAGAGATAACGTCTGATTGAGCTGAAATTTTTACCAGACACTCCTACATATGTACTCTAATGATGGTAGTAGCGTGAACTCGTGGAATTGTTTCTAGGCTATTCTAGAGATTTTCCAAAAACCACGGTTTTTGGTCGGAAATCCGGTTTTAGGGATCCATATTACACTTTGAAAAAAAACTAAGGTAATATTCGGAATCAACTCGTCGAGCTGCATCAGACTTATCTGAAAAGAGTCATTTTTGTGCAAGTCAATTTTTGATAGAATTAGGCGGGAAACGACCGATCATAGGTTTTTGGCCGAAGCAGTCATATTACATTTTGAAGAAAAACTAAGGTGATATTCGAAATCAGCGCATCAAACTACACCGAATGATATGTAGCGCAACATATTTTTCAAAAAAAAATTTTTTTCGAAAAAAACCTTTTATTTTTCTTAAAAACAGTTTTCTGAGCGGTATACTGTCATTTCTAGTGAAATGAAAGTCATTACTAAGCAAAAAAGCCGCATGTCCGCCTGCTCATGTGAAAGCTCCCCACTGTGCCACGCACGGATGAGTCAAACAATGAATTTCATGGAAAAGATACTTTCACAGTTGTAAACACGTTCTGTGGCTTTTAAATGACACTAGAACTCAGAATGGCAGACCACTGAACAGTTAAAACGACCTTTTGATGAAATTCATTGTTTGCCTCATAACTGCCTGAGGGAGACAGGGGGTGAATTTTTCATCAAAACAAAGAATAAAGGAAAACGCTTAAAACTCACATAGATCTACTCCGCTTTTCATGCTGATTCAGGATATCGTAGTAGTTTCGACCAAATCGAGCGTTTACTGATTGAAATCTACTAAATACTAGCCAAAAACGCACAAAATCATGTCCCGAGACTAGTATCCTTCAAATTTTTCTTAGAGGTAGGTATTATTTATAGATATCTTTATACGATTTTGTAGCGCTTCCAAAGCGTTATCATACCATATGAACATTAGTCGAATCGGTCATCCGATTGGCGGATAGAAACAAAGATTATCATGGGCAATCAGAGTTATTTAATATGTGATAATTATTGATTATTTCAACTAGCCTTGAAACAACACAAGCAAATGCTATAGGACTGATTCAATTAGAAATCACTTGTGGACAATTTTTCTGAGAGTTTGACGTAGAAGAAATCAAATTTCTCGAGTAGGCACCCTCCTTTTTTTCAAAGTCACTAGTGGCTATATTGATTTCGAAATATCTGACGTTGTTTCCCATATGAAACGTCGAAATTAAGTTCATCTGGTGCAGAATTAAATGCTCTATCAGATCAACTAATAAAATTTTTTGTTAACTTAAAAGCCACAATATAAAAATTGAAATATTGAAAAATTTCGAAAAAATAAAAGTTTTTGTTTTGAAAAAATATTTTTCCTAAAAAATATCCAAACACTGTAACGACGTAAAGTATACTGGTTTATGCAACTTTACATGGGCTTTCAAATGAGACGTTCCGCGACATTATACGACCTAATTTGGACTCAGAAAGTCAAAATTACTGAAAATTCGTTTTTTTTCACGTTTTGTGAGGGTGTTCATATTGAAATGCTTGTAGCTCCGTAAGGAAACGACATAGAAGCCTAAAAAAAATTTCGTCACCTTAGTTTTTTCACGTAGAATCGAATGATAAAAAAAAATGACGTGTTAAAAATTTTCATGTTATGGCCGATCAGGCCTGTGCTCGATACTTTCATGGAACGTCTCTTAATTGCGCAATTTTCTGGGATGTACCGCATATCATAAAAACAAGAAAACAAGAAAAATTGACTGGTGCACCGGTGGGCGGTGCCACCAATGAATTCCTAGTGAAAATGCTGTCATTATCACAAATAATTAATATTCTTCATAAAAAAAGTAGTTTCTCAAAGACGCGAATCGATTCGGGAGCTGTACATCTTAAGTAAATTTGAAGTATTTTATCCTTACAGTTGGTAGCGCATTTTCTGTTGAAGCATATAAGTTCTTGTTGAGATCTGTATGAGAATGGGTTGGAATGGACGTTCAAAAAAATATTTAATTTTTTTATCCGAGACTGTTTAAAGAAAATGGTTTAGAATGGGATCTCTTGAAAGAAGAATTCTAAGTTCTATCGATTGATGATATTTTCGAGTTAAACTAGGGTTGAAGTGGCTTAGAATGTATTTTACTAATACTCATTCCAAATATTTTATTGTGAGTTGTTTTTGCAGATGCAGGGTACAGATTCATTGAACGATTGATAATATTTGGAAAAGTAGTCGATTTGGTTTTCGATTGATTGAGTAATAATGGCAATAGATACGGACTATAGGTCATCTATTCGATATGATTGTTGCGAGGAAGCTTATCAATGTAAGAATATACTTTAGAATTGGGACTATTAAGGTTTTGAATACAGATTCGCACGATAAAAAATGAATAGTTTATGAAATTTAAAAACAAAGAGACATATAATTGTTTCTTTATTTGATATTTTATAGCAACAGAAATCAATCAGTTAATTCATGCTGTCAGTATGCATTCCAACTGTGACAAATAGAATGTCAACTACTACTGCTGACGAGATCGATTCTTTTTGAACGTATTACGATAGATACAAAAGTAGAGTAATTGCGTTTGTGACGTAGACTATATACAATGTTTTGTTCTTTTCCTTACTATAGTGCGTAGTGATCTGTGTTTTTGTATTCGTGATTACAAGAACATTTACATTATTGAGCCAGTTTGTAGAGAAACAGAAAGACAATTACACAAAAATCATGCATGTATGATATAGCCGAAAATTCGCTTCTTTGGGTTCCTGTTGCAATATTTACTGATTACCATTTGTGGTATGATTCATTGTCCGAGATATTCGTTTATATTTATTCTCATTGATAATACGTACTGCAGATGGAAAATAGAATAAGTTGCTAAAGAAACCAAAAAAGTCAATTCATTATGATCAATATCAACCGACTAAATCTAGTCCCTTGTATTAGACATGATGGGTGGGTGATCTCGAAGGAGTTGGCAATGTTTCCTTATCATCTATCACTTTTATCGGGATCAATCGTTTCGAATCGAATGGCAGTACAATCTTGCCTACAGCGTCATATTTCAGCCATACTGATCTTGTTCGATTCCTTCTTCATCAACATGATGTCAAACGACGTCAACAAAATTGGATAGTTCCACTGCATACAAACTAGCAGCTGACAATGAGACTCGTGAATTGTTTCATCTTTCAGCATCTTTTTACTACAATCATCAGTATAATACTATAATCTGAATTAATTTGGATGAAATGTTTTTTTTTTAATTTGGTGCATGGAAAGAAATTTAGGTAGTGAACAACAAAATCAATTAAGAAATGTGATAAATGAAAGTTTTCGTCAACAGTGTCTTATATTTTTTTCAATACCAAACAGGCACATACATATTGATTATCATTGATAACTAGGTCCTGTCTTTCTTTTAGCTTTTCTTCGTATACCATCCAAAAATCTTTTGATAATTCATCAATTTCTTCTTTAGAACGTCCACTCATGTGCAACACTTGATTAATCAAGGGTTCCATAGTACTTTGAAATACTTTTGTGAATATTTTTACCAATTGCTCAAATGACAACTGGCCACTATGATACTGTTCAAGTATAGGTACCTTTAATTGACTTAATTCGGCTCTAATCAATTGTAATGAACATCGATCGAACAATTCATAATCCATACATTCAGATAATGAACGAAGATATAAAGGAATTGTCAAGTTCAATAACTCTTGTTCATTAAAAAATGATTGAGCAGATATATACAGCTGATCGAAATAATTGCTCATACTATCAATTCCTTGATCATCGAAACTGGGAATACTAAGAACCAATATTCCTCCCGGTACAAGTTCTCTAGAACGATGTTCTATAAATGAATTAAAATCAAGTTTTGCTTGTTGTTCATATGCTCGACGTTCATGGTTGTCAGCATATGTATGAAAACAATGATTCTTAATATGAAAAGGTATTTTTGATAACCAATGTAGTGAAGAAGATGTAAAGCCTATCGAAAGACTATTGGCTGGAAGACATTGTTCATAAAATGAATAACCATTAGCCACACCATGATATGATTTATCTTCTGAAATAAGTTGAAAAAGTTTTGTCCAATCGTTTGTTGGAAGATCATTATGAACGACAAGTGGTAATGTAACAAGTTTAGTTTTTTCTTGAAGATATTTAATAAATATTTTCATAGCTATTATTGAATTTCTTCCATGAGATGAACCAAAATCAGCAATAACCAAAGGTGAAGATGAAACATTTAAATTATCAATACCTAATTGGATATAAGGTGTCATTAAATTAATAATAGCAAGTTGAGGATCAGAGTTTTCATTATAACTTCCAGACATACCAGAAGTTGAATTTGGATTGATTGACATTTTTCTTACGTTAGTAAATAAAAAATATAACAGAGAATGAACGAAACTTTACTAATTATGACGAGATTAAAAAAGAAATTGTTAAGAAAAATGGAAAAACTTTGACTTTTGTAATTTTAGCTGTGAGTTGGGATGTCTGTATATGGGAGCCTCAATACAGCCAATTGGCATCATGACTCAATCTTCGAGGGACTGGAAAATTTGACCCACGGCTAAGCATTAGGACTTCATACTGTTAGTAGGATTCTTCAGAGTTTAGTACTACTTATTACCTCAAGATTGTTAGAATCTGATGTTTTCTACTATTAAATCAGTAACGTGAGAATATTTTTTGGTCAGATCTGGAACACATTTTCGAAAGTCGAATATCTGTTGGAATTAGTTTCTAATTTGTCGTTGTGGAAAACGAGAAAAAATTTTTCGAAGCATCAGAAATCTTTGAGGAAACCCACAAAGGGCTTTATATATTGACAAACTCGAAAAGGATTCATAGGTTTCTAGAAGTCCTTTTTTTGTAGAGTATACTATAATTTCAAAGCTTAAATAATGAACCATTTGTAAGATTTGTTTAAGCTATCATCCGTGAGATGAAAGAACTCACTCAAACGCATCATAGAGCAACAAAATCTCACCAATGTATAACTATCAGCATTGAATCTACTTCCGTCTTCATTCAAGTTTATAAGAGAAAAATAAGAAAAAGAGAGATGGTTACTTGCTTGATCAATCAATGAAAATGGTATGCAATCGATCGAACTAATTGGGCATTTATAGACTTCTCGAGAAAGAAAAAGAGAATGAAAAAAAGAGAAAAAAAAAAGAGGTTGAATATTTTGTTGTAAACAACTGTTTGTGCCTGATCTAAAGTTTGACTCGATCCGAACCGAACCGAGCCCAATTAGAAGAATACTAGATTAGTATAACCTCCAAATAAATCAGGAAGCCATTATTCCGTCGGATAATGTGCTATGGCTTCGAATTTCTAAATAACAACTGACATTTTTCCGTTTGTTCACAAATTGTCTAGAGAGTCCACAGTTATGAAGTGTGGAATTCTTCTCTATGTAGCATGGCATTATGTAAATATTAACACGCGAAAGGTTTCATTGCGCTATTATGTATATAGAAGTCATGTTTTTCGTTCCTCGTCATTTCTTCAATAAAAAAAAAAGCATCATTCTGTTCAGGGTCATTATGACAGAAATAACGCTACAGTACTGATAAATAAACTGAATTCTTTTTCTTCTGCACACAAGAATATATAACAACTCAACTTCGTTGACAATAGTCTATGTGTTTTGAAGAGTAGATCAGTCGATTCGAATGACCAATCTGAACATTCTCCAAACACAAAAGACATATTGAATGTTTTATTATTATGAAGTTCTGTTAAAAAGCATGAGAAGGTTTGATAGAACAAGCAGATATGTATAGCGCATTTATAGAAATCTCAAAGTTCTATTATATTAGATTGGTATAAGAACTACGAAATATAAAAACAAAAAAGGAAAAATTGATCAGGTGATTTTCTGAGATATTATTCTTCCTAAATCAATAGTCACTGTTTTCACAACGAATTCTATGCGAATTGTAATGCTTATTTATATGAAGAATAGTTGGGAACGTTCGATTAAAATGAATTTTCAATTATATCTCATTCTATAAACAATAAAATAATAATTACGATAGCTATTATTCGCTTCAACACTTGTCGATGATTCATAACAAACAAGAGAGATTTTTTTCTCCATTCTCCAGTCAAATATTCATTTTTGTACAAATAACGGATGGCTCATAATAAATGACAGCACTTTGCACTTCATATTCAAATCTCTAACTACGTTTTATTAAAAAAAAATACTATACTACAATATCTATCGTGAAAAGCTCTATAATCTGTAATGTAAATCATATTTTAACTGTCTACTTTTTGTTTTCGAAAAATGTCCGACCATTTAATATGGTTTATCCTTCAGAAGTTTTCTCTACTATTGTATCACTCAATGAGCATAAATTTTCTATAGGACTATGAATTCTACATGACCTTTGTATACTAATGATATAGAACTTGATATTGAACTGACTTTATTAAATATATTAGGTGTATTTTGATCAATATTCATGTAAAAGAAATATTCTCATGAATGTTTTCCTCATAGAAATGATTCATTTTTTGAAAGAAAAAACCTAAATTGGCTTGAATCGGTCATTTACCATTTCTGATTGCAATTTTCAATATCGATATATAGCACAAGAAAACTTAGAATCATTTTCTCTTATTAGTATATTTTGTCAATCAACTATATGTTCTTCTTTAGTTAATTATATCACTAGAGGAATATATATATATCATTAATCAAACACTAAACCAGTCTAATTAAAAATCCCATTGATGAAGTAGAAATATTTTTGTAAGTACAAAAGTGTATAAAGGAAAATAATGTTTAATTAATTTAAAAATTGATGGTAACTATTAATATTCGTTGTAAACTTTGCTATTTGTTTATCACTATTTACGATTGTCTAATAATGCATTCATGATTCTGATCTTGTTCTATCAAATTAGATTAATATATTCATTGAAACTTATTCATTCATACATCGAAAGTTTTTCTTGCTGTGAAATTCTTATTTACTGTTGCCTATTAAATTTTTTTTTTTTTGTTTTTCATTTTATTTCAATATCATAAGATGATGAAAGGTGAAAAATAGAACACAGCAAGTAGAGATTTTTTTCTCTTGTAACAGAAACTCGAACGTTGTTATTCTGACGCAATAATTTGTTCGTTTGTTGGTCAAAATCACCTTATACTGTATGCAACAATTTTGAGTGAAGTACACTGATATTTTTCTATGTTTGTCCGTTGTATGTAAACTCTCAATTGAAATAAATGTTATTTAATTGGTTGTTGTCCTTGAATAGTTACCATCGTTCTTTTTTCTTCCAGACATCTAAAAAACAAATGCATTCACTTACACCATTTTTCGATCGTGTTTTTTTTTGTTATCGATTTTTCTTCTCATCAAGCAATTTTATACAGGTGAAGCGATCGAACTAACAATCAACACATTCATATTTGTCGTTTTTCAAATTGCGTCCTCAGATGAAAATTACTGAACTTCACGCTAATAATTATTACATAGAAGCTCGAACAGGCTTAAATATGTTACGAAACTAGATGGATTTTGTTAAGAACTCAAGTAACATGAAATTCTGACAGTAACAAATCACAAAAGGACTTTAGATATATTCTGGCGACAATAATTGAATTCTTCTGTTCTTTTGTATTTTATAGAGAATATATTTATACGTTGCTAAGTACGATCAGGCAAAACGGCGAAAATATGTTGCATTAAATTTTATTCCGAGAAAATGATATTCTCTATGTAAAAGGAAAATTCTTTCCGTTTATTTCTTGGTAAAGTACTTATGCTGAAGTTTTAAGACAGCAAGGAATAAAATTGATCTGTATTTCAGATAAACTTTTTCTAGTTCAATTTTTCTGATTTTGAATCTTACAGCAATTTAAATTTTATGAATAAATAATTTTGTGAATAAAATAATTGAAATCTTATCTAGATGTTTACCCAAAATTTTCTACATCTATGTGTTATTTCAGATTGAATGTCTACTTTTACATTTTTCTTTTCGAAGCAAAGTATTAAAATGTATTGAAATATTATCAAGATTTGTTTTTCATTTTATTTCTATTAGTGTTTACCTTAAAATAAGAGATAATTAGGATGAAATATTCGTCCTGAAGTTCATTTTGTTAGCGTTCGACAAAGGTCGATGAGACTCAAGGTATAGTTCATATATTATTGATAGAAGATATTTGATAGTTCTTGAGGTGGTGAAAATAGAAAGTCAATTGACGATTTTCGCTGAAAAACTAAACACATAAATAGATCCATAATACATTTTTAATGAAAAAATATTTGTTTAATATGTATAAATACATTTATTTTTTCGTTCTTGTTGACGAGTATTCAAGATCGATCTCAAACGTTTTGTGCAAAAACAGTTTTCAAGTCGAAAAAAAAGTCACTTTTGAAAAATATTTCTGGAATATTCCACACATGATAAACTTGAAAGTTGAAATTTCAATTGAATTCAAGTTTCAAATTTTACACTACTGATCTTTCCATGTCATTGACACATTAATCCGTTCAATATTGGCTACAGCTCGTAATTGTGCGACCAATTTTAGTTGATTATCAATGATTGACATTTATTTTTCTAAGATAAATCAATAGCAAAGTTAATTATCTATGGGTACAAAATAATCACTATAAGACAACAAAGATCCAGTTATCTGTTTCATTTTTTTGTCTTTCTGAGATAATTATCACTATTCATCAATTATTACTTTGTCTTTTAAATAATATTTCTTGTTCATTTCGCACCTTTTCATTGCTCATCGCCGTTGGATCATTAAATACTCGCTATTATACGTTGTAATACTCTCTTATATCGAAGAAAATACTTTGGTTACTTTCAGCTAATGCTACATTATGTTTAACTAATATAATTTATTTCCTATAGTCGTAACAATAAAACTGAAATATTTCTGTTATCTGTTTTTGTAAGGTAAAGAGAAAAAGCAAGTTATCTTAAGGTTACACTTACTATTTAATAGTGATTTACAGAAAATAATTATCAATGATAAATATCTTAGTGCAATACTTACATGATTATATCACGTTAGAAACAAATGGACCAATCGTTTGTTAAAATAAATATCTAAAATCAACAAATGTGAAATACTCAGATAGATATGTGTCAAGGAAAATCCAAGAATAAAGTTCAGATTTATTCGTGATTACCAATTTAATTTATCTAACGATTTCTGTTTTAAGAAAATTATTATTTTTTTCATTATTGATTCATTTATTTAATTCTCTTTCCATTATTTGCAGTAAAAATAAATTACTAAAACGGTGAAATAATAAATAAAAGTCACATTTGAAAAATTTGCTCTGATATTTTTCTCCTTTCT